CTGTTAGTGCACATGCCTTACTTCTCTGCCCACCTTCTTGACCTTTCTCCATCACCTATGCCCACCTCACCTACAAGGGGGAGCCCGCTGCAGGGCAGCCTCCACCCTCCACACACCGGGACAGGGCAGAGGTTTAGAGACACAGTGTGGGTCTACGGCCGGTGAACAGATAACATTTGAACTTCACTGGACCTTGGCCCCTCGTTCAACCCTCCAGCTGTTGAGATCTGCCAGCTGCCATGTTCTTTCTGGATCCCTGACTAAAAACCTGTCATGACAGAGTCAGCCCTGAAAGGGGGACTTGTGGTTAGGGTCATATGTATCAGTATTGTTTAGGTTCCATTCCGCGCTCAGTTTGATTCTGTTTCTTGTTCTCTGTGTCAAAGCAAACTAGCTCTCCTAAAATGAACTTAACAAAGCACCTACTGTGTGCATAACACTTGCTGAACTCCAAGTAAGTTAGGAGCCTGGCTGTTTTAACAGACGGAGGGCTCCTTACACACAAAGCCACAAGGGAGACTCTCATCTATTCTGTCAGTCTCTTAATTTACTCCCAAAGTATCTATCAACTGCCTGTTGTGAATAGGGCCAGTGGCCCAGCACTTGTTATGCAGGAGGCACTTTGTAAAGACTTAGTAGATTAAATTTAGGGAGTTCTGCGTTCAGGTGGTAGGAGATGAAAATTTAAGCACCTCAGGTAGAGAAATAGATTTTGTCTTTCTTAGGTTTAAAAGTAGTACAGTCTGAGCCCTTGCTGCCTACACCCTCAGCCCTTGCTGAGCCCTTGCTGCCTAGAAAAGGGAGTACTGTCCCTGGGCTTTAGTTCCTTCATTGGAAAAAAGGTGTTTGTTCGATGGTGATTCTTAATTTTTATTTATTTTTTATGGTGCTGGGGGTGGAACCCAGGGCCTCTTGCATGCTCGGCAAGCGCTCTCTGCTGAGCCACACCCCAGTGCTCAGTGATGATTTCTTGAGGGCCTCTGGGTGCCACGTGTGTGTTCATGTTGTGGAAGCCGGGCCTCCCCACCTGATCAGACTTGGTGAAGATGGAACTGGAGAAGGGCTTTGGAAAATGCGCTCCACGGCCTGCTGCTGGTGAGGGGACCTCAGGGGCTTACCACACCCTTCATGTCGCACGTGGCAGCCGCTCTGAGGTCAGGCATCACTGCCCGTGTCTCTGTCTCTCTCTGTTTCTGGCCAGTCAAGCCTTACTTTAGTTGCAGTAGACAGCTTCCTGGCTTTGCCCTGTGCAGCCTGTTTCTGGGCCAGGGTTTGTTTGAGGCCCTGTTTGGATATTGTTGAGAGTGGGCAGCTTGGCTCAGAAAGGTCGGCAGGAGAGACGAGAACAAAGAGATCTTTCAAGCTGGCTGCTTGCCGGCCAGCCAGAAACAGCTTGGAAAAGCCCAAGCTCTACCTGGCACAGACACTGTTGGGGCTGGACTGGCACCGTTCAGCCTGGTGGCCATCTGGGGCTCATGAGAAGTCTCGTTGGTTTCTCAGTTCTCAGAGGGGTAAACTGAGGCAGGGCTTATTCCCAGCACTGCATAACAGGATGCCTTCAGCCTAGGACTTCACATCTCCCCTGTGCAGCCTTGACTGCTGGAACCTCTGAGTGGGGTTTTTTTCTCTGAGGACATTCAGTAAAAATTGGGATTTACTCAAAACATGCCTGAGGGTGATGATTTGTTTTGCCAAAGAATTCTTAGGCGCTTATTTAGATGACAAAAATCCCTCATAGGTTTGGAAAGAGTGAGATCTAATTCTGGGTCACAAGATCTTGTTAAAATGTAGTGCTGGCTCCTTAGGCGTGTGCTGGGGGAGTGGCTGGGGCCCTGGGAGTCAGCATTTCTTCTTGACCCCCGGGAGAAGCCAGTCAGCTGGTCTAGGAGTGATGGTGGTATACAGTGGAGGGTGGCGTGCACCCAGCAGTGACAGAGGACAGTCCTTGTGGTGGTGTGGGACGAGAGGCCATAGTCACTTCTGGCTCCAGCCTCCTGGCAGCAGTCTGGGCTTGGCTACCAGGGAGGAGACTGGCAGGTGGCCCACAGAATGGAAAATCACCCAAGGTCCTGTGAGCCGCCAGCCTCCTCTGGGCTGCAGAGTCTGTGTGGCCCCAGGGGCCACCCCGCCTCCTGTGGCTGTGTCTCCAGCTGCCAGGGAGCGGGCCTGCGTACTGAGTTCCCAGAGCCAGTCGTTTCCTCTCCATTCCGGGAGCTCACGCGATCTGTGTCTTCTCTCTGTCCTGGTGATGGCTGGTGCTGTGCCGCCCCCTCAGCAAGTTGGCTTGGCTTGCAGGCTACTGTCCTGCTCTGAGCTGTTTTCTGCAACAGCGGCCTCAGTGGGACTGGGTGACTCTGCTATAGACTCTGTCTCCTGAGGCTTGTAGGGACGCCAGGCCTGTCCCTGGCTCTGTCCATCTGCCAGGGAATCCTGTTTTTCAGTCCCCTGTGGGGCTGAGGCTGGTCGGAGACAGATGAACGTGAAGCAGGAGGACCTAGCTGAACTTCCCTGCAAAATTATGCCAGTTAAATCCATCAGGAATGTGATCTTCAGGACACAACCTAGATGGGGGAAGGAGAATAACATTTGGGGAGCCTCTGGCACACACCCCAGTACACTTGGGCTCTCGCGTTGGCCTCCTGACAAAACTATGAGGGACTGAGAAGGCTTCCTCCGGGAGAGACCGGGACTTAGAGCGCCACAGTTCCAGGAGATGGACACAGGATCTAACTGCAGGGCTGGTGTTTCCCTGGTGGACTGTCCCTTGTGAAATCTGGCTTCTTAGACTAGAACCAGAGGACACTAGATCATCTAAGCCAGCAGCTCTTAAACTTGAGTGTCCATTGGAACCTTCTAGGAACTCAGTAAGTCTTAGCTTGCTGGGCCCAATCTGAATTTCTGATCAGCGGATCTGGAATGCATTTCCAACAAGTGTCTTTCCAGTAGATTCCTGGGATTGTGGTGCTGCTAGTCCAAAGACTATAATCCAAGCACCTCTGATCTATACCATTTTCCCAGTGTGTAAGTTATAGTGAGACTCATGCTAACTTGTTTTTTTGGTGGTGATATAGCGGATGAGACCCAGGACTTTGTGCATTTAGGCAAGAACTCTACCACAGAATCCACACTTCTTTTGTCTTTATCTTAACAGGCCCTAAACTAGGACTTGTCCTGCCTCAGCCTTCTCAGTAGCTAGGATTACAAGCCTGTGCCACCGCGCTCAGCCACAGACTTAAAAAAATATCTGTTGACAGAAAAATAACCAGCACAGTAAACGCATGTGTTCTAGTGAGAAATCTACTGAAGCAGAAGGAAGATTATAAAAGAGTTACATAAGTAATGACACTGCTAACCCCACACAACTAGCGGTGAAGACTGAACTGTGTATGCAGACAGCTGAAGCTGGGACACCCTGAGCTAAATGGAGCGCTCATGTTGCGGAGGAGGAACAGGCGAACCTGCTTTCCTAGGCCACGTGGCCCTTCGTAGATGGGCCTGCGTGGTGTGTCCTGAGCCTGAGTCTCCCTGGCCTATGGGTTCTTCGGAGCACTGGGCTGACTAGGCAAAGTTGTGATTCTGACCCTACCCCAGGGATCTTGGTCTCCATTCTCAGCCCTAAAATAGGACTGCTTTTGTAATATTGGACATTTGTATATTTTTAGCCCTCTTGTCTGAGCCAGAGCTTCACTGAAGCCAGAGGACTTGATCTGTGAGCTCAAGGCACCTGAGTGTGCTGAGCAGGAGCTCCTGCAGCTCTCCTGGCTGCCTGCTTTGGCTGGTCAGGCTTCGATCTCATCTCGTCCACACGTGCTAGCCTGGCAGCCTGAGCTTTCCCTCGTGTGGTACCATCCAGGGAACTCCCACTCCTCAACCCAAGCAGATAAACGGGACTGGTCTACTTCATAGTGGGAGCTGTGATGGGGTACCTGGGGTGAACCCCGAGCTCAGGAGGCCACAGTGTGCGAAGGTCAGAGCTGCCCTGGAAAATGACCTTGAGGTGTGGGAGTTGCTTCAAAAGAATTAACAAGCAGGCTGGCAAGGGTCTGGGGGTCTTACTGGTTGTAAAAGATGAAGGGCTTTTGAAGGCCCATGGTAGGTAGCACTTGACACCAGAACTGGTCGTTCAGTTTAGCATTCACTTGAGTGGTGGGAGCTAAGTCAGGGGAGGTGAGGAGCAGTCCCAGGAGGCCACTCAGAAGAGCTACCCTAAATTCACTCATCCCTGGGATTCTGAAGGCACTGGTCTGGGGAGGGGTCAGCTGACCTCTCTATGTCAGCTAGATATCTCCAGGGGCAGGGAGCTGCTTTTCAAATTGCAGGCTGCAGCTCATTAGGGGTTACATGCAAGATGATTTTGTGGGCTGCAGCCAGTGTCTTTCAAAAGCAGAGTGAGGGAGAAGTAAACTCGCAAGTGTCAGAGTTGCCTGTCCATAGTGGAAAGAGGTAAGTGTGTCAAGAAGCCTTATATTTGTGTACAAAGAACAGTGAGTTCAGTATGAGGTGTATTTCTCACTGTAGGTCACATTGTAGCAACCCTAAAAATTGTTAAGGCTCAGAGGTTGATGGAAGAGAGGAGACCTGGCTGGCAGGTCACTGGGTCAGTCTTGGGGCCTGGCAGTGGGGACCTGCAGTGAGGATGGACTCCAGCGTGGGCTGCATGTAGCAGGCGACGTGTGAAACTGACCCAAGTTGGGAAGCTCAGGCCAGCCAAGGCATTTGGGCCAGGGTGGCACGGGTTTACAGGGTCAGTCTTGGTGCCCTTGAGTGGTAAACTGGAAATCTGAGTTGCTGGAGTCTTTGGGAGATGGATCTCCTTCCTCTCTTTGCTGTTGTCTCTGCTTGCTGTGGCCTTTGGGTTATTACTCTGGTCTTTCATCTTAATGATTGAAGGTATTCAAGGAAAACTCCAGCACACAGGCTTCCACTTAGCTCTGCAGGCTTGAGGGTGTCTTTGCAGGAGTTGGGCCCATAATGACCCATGTCTGCTGCCCTCCCTCCAGGAATATCGTGAAGGCCATGAGGGAACTCCGTGAAGTTCTACGGACTGTGGAGACCAAAGCAACCCAAAACTTTAAAGTGGTAATGTAGCTGCTGGCTGTCCCTGGTTTATGCAAGGGTTGGGGGAGAGTTTCTGTAGGAGACAACAGAAATCATAGCAGGCAGCCAGGGGTGGCTTTCTTGCCTCACCTCACACCTGCCTTCATAGGCCTTAATGCATCCAGAATCACAACCATAGCTGCTGTGCATGCTGTCAGCACCTCCACCAGGCATTTGGTAGAAAAAGGTGCCTGTGCTTCTAGGTCCGATTCCTTTCCACCTCTGTAAGGGCCTTCAGGGCACACAGAGATGGGGGTGTTCCCTGGGGTCAGGAGAGGGAGGGTGTACACCTCTCATCTAGAAGAGGAGAGGCAGAAGAGATGAGGTAGAGCCATCTAAGCCCAAAAGGCTGGGGCGCCTCAGTGCTGGGATCCCTCAGGAGTGGCACCAGGGAGCCCGGGGGCCCCACATACAGGGCCAGCTGGGTGGAGGGCATTACAGTGCGTCCGGCTGAGTTCCTCCTGCCTGCAGATGGCTGCCAAGCACCTGGCAGGGGTCCTGCTGCACTCACTGAGTGAGGAATGCTACTGGAGCCCTCTGTCCCACCCTCTGCCCGAGTTCATGAGCAAGGAGGAGAACGCCTTCATCACGCAGGCCCTGCGCAAGCCTCACCTCTATGAAGGGGACAAGTGAGTTCCACCTGCCCTGCTCAGCCACACCAATCTCACACTGGGTGGGACTCCCAGCCTCTGCCTGTACCTCTTTGGTTGCTGCCCTGCACTCTGGGCCGGGCAGGCACTCAGGGATCAGGGAAGGAAGCTCTTCTGTGGGCCCGGGGGGAGACTCCAGTCAGTCACCCAGAGGCCCATTTGGTGATCTGATGCCTATAGTCCCAGGTGGGTCCGTGGCCAGCTGGCAGAGGCTCGGAACCTATGTGGTGCTCTCTGTGCCTCGCCCTGCAGCTTCAGGCAGTGCTCTGGACAGGAAGGCCCCTTCTTCCCCAGGGGCATCTGTGGCCTTTCAGACCCTAATTTAGGGCCCATTAAGGAGCTGCTTGTGATGTCAGTGCCTGTGAATTATGCAGGAGTGGGTCACCTTACCAGTTGGGTGCTGACTTGGGGCAGAAGGGCCACGGGGTGGTCAGAGGTGCTGTGGCTGCGGGGTGGGCTTAAGCCCGGCTGCATTTGCCTTTCAGCCTCTACTGCCCGAAGGATAACATTGAGGAGGCCCTCCTGCTGCTGCTCATCAGCGAGTCCATGGTAAGCTGGGGTGCCTGGGGATGGGGGTAGGGCAGGAGCTTAGACACAGCCCCTCTTTGTCCTGTACAACCTGCTTCTAGGGAGGCCCCAGAGCTAGGGCTCCTTGGCTCTGCTTCCCGATGCAGGGGGTGGGTCTGGCTTGCTGGGCCTGGGTTTGGCTGCATTTGGAGGCCTAGGCTCTTCCCACAGATGAGCAGGGACTGAGTGCAAGTTCCCCTCTTGTGGGATTGCAAAAGGCGATTGTTGTGAGGGACATGTGTCCAACAGCCCTGTTTTAGGATGCTGGCCAGGCATGAGAGAGCAGCAGATGGGAGTAGAAGGAGCACGAGCTTTAGAAGCAGGTGGCTAGGGTTCAGGTTCTAGCTCTGACCTCGTTAGCTAAGGGCTAGCAGCAATTCATGCCATCTCTTTGAGCCTTAGTTTCCTCCCTGTGAGATGACAGCCAGGTGTGGTAGAATAGGCCTGTAATCTCAGCACTCAGGAGGCTGAGGCAGGAGGATCATTGTGATTTCAAGGCCAGCCTGGGCTATATAGCAGACACTCAAGACAAGACAGACAAAAAAAGGTGAAAGTAACTCACAGAGGTAAGTGTAGATGGAACTCGTACATTCATGTGACAGTTACTAATTATCTGCCTTGTGCCTGGCACTGAACCTGTTTAGGGAGCTTAGAGGTGCCACTGTCCTCATGGAGTCTACCTTCTAGTGAGGGAGGTGGCACTAAATTGATTAATGACAATTGCAGTATTGGGACATTGTTTGTACGCATACAACTGTGTTGTGCACTGTGGAGGAACAAAGCAGAGGTGAGGGGAAGACATAGTAGACAAAGTACACAGTGACCCGTTTCCCATGCCCTGGGCAGGGGAGGGAGGCACAGGCACATATGAGTATGCACACACCCACACAGGGTTCCCTGCCAGGAGGTGGTGTCCCAGTGCTGGGGTGCCTCGGAGGCTCTGTCTCTGTAAGTGTGACATGGCTGGGTCATCCAGGAAGTAGAAGAATAAAGAACAGGCTGGACACCTCTGAAGAAGGTGCAGGGAGGAGAGGCAGGGACTGGTCCAAGTCGCCCATCGAGGACTCCATCAGAGCCGGTGAGCTGAGACCACCGGCTTGAGCTAGAACCTCTGAGTGTGTGCATCTGAGGAGGGAGGGCAAGATACCAGGACCCATGAGCTGGGTGCCTGAGCAACCAGAAACAAGTTTTCCCTTGGGCAGATAGATGTCTGGGAGTGTTCCTTTGGACGTCTGGTGACTTTGGATGTGTGGAATGGTGGCTTTGGACATCGGGGATGGTGGCTTTGGACATCTGGTTGATATCAGGGCTTGTTTAGGGAGCTTAAATGGAAACATTGCCTCTAAATCCGCATGTCCTCTGGCAATAGATAGGGGAAGGATGCTTGGCCACAGGGTAGAGAGGCTGAATGCTTAGCCAAGCCAGGCCATTTTGGATTAGGGAATTCTTGATTTTAGGATTTGGCTATTTAGAGTTCAAGCGCCAGCTGGGCATATGGTAACATTGGTATTATCTTCCTGTAAGCATATGTTGAGTCATATGAAATTGCCAGTTTTTAGTTGTTTATGGCCTATGGCCACCTCAGGTTATATAGATGCATTTAATATCAGTATGTTCTCATGTTTTTGGCCTGTGTGGGTTTAGAGTCTTTTGAGGCAGGTTCTTGCTATGTAGTTCAGACCCTCCTTGAACTCTTGGCAATCCTGCCTCGGTCTCCAGAGTGCTGGATTACAGGCATTTACCATCACTCCTAAATCAGTGTGTTCCTGTCCTACAGATGAGACAAGTAAGGTCCAGGACAAGTCCCTGTCTTGGTCAAGATTACGTACTGTTAAACCTTGTAGGTATGATTACAATCACACCCACTCCCTTCAGGCCCTCTAAAAACGAGACATGGAGCCCAAGCTCCAGGCTTGATTCCATGCCTTACTATCTGCTCTGATTTGAGGTTTTCTCATCTATAAAAGGGCCAAAGATATAACTTGGGAAACCGGATAGCTATTGTGTTTCTCCTCAGTAGAGGTCAAGGCTGTACTCCGTCCCCTGAGCCATTTTCTGTGGCCTCGGTTTGATAGGGACAAGGCCAGAATTCACATGCCTTTCCCATAAGATAATCCCCACCTCGCCTCACCCCAGGTACCTCACGGTGCCTTTCATCTCAGACAGCCTGTTCCTGAAATGTGGCCGCTCTTGGAGTAAGGGGATGTTCTTGAGTATGTGTCTTCCCTCCGAGCTTCCTACCCATTCCGCTTTTAGGGGATGTGGCAGGCCAGCCTGCCCGGCACCTGGGAGAAGTGGAGCCCTGGGGAATCACTGCAGCTTCAGAGCAGGAGGACTGCACAGTTCCCACAAGGTCACCAGGAGTAGGCACGCTGGCTGGCTTGGTCCCCCTTCTCCACGCACAGCCTGTCAGACATTTGGGAGCTTGAGGAATTTGGGGAGGGACATTTGTAATGGACTTGGCTTTAGTGTCTCATCAGCAGAGCCCTGTTAGCCTCCAGTCTAAATCTGGCCTCTGCGGCTCCCAGATTCCCTCTTGTCTTTATTTTACATCTCCATCCCTTCGCTCTTAATCAACCAGAGAAATGGGGTGTGGCCTCCATAGGGCCAGACCCCACCATCCCTGCTCTTGCTCTCACCTGTCCACTGAACCCCAGCGTTCCACACACCCTCAGGCTGGCCACCATGCTCCTGGGGAGTGTCCTTTTCTCTCTTTGATGCTGCCTGGGTTTGGCCGCAGGTAATGGGCTTGAGAAGTCTGTAAGATAGCAGTTGCAGCCTCAGCCGCCACTTGGATTCTCCTAGTACCTGCAGAATCCCTTGTGCTGCGTAAAAATGATTCCTGCAGGGCCAGCCCGTGTCACTGTGGCCCTCACCTCCAGGGAGACCCAAGCAGTTGCTCCTGTGAAGGGTGTTTTCAGGCTTCCTGTTTTGTGGCCTGGAGCTTAGGACAGCCATGTGGGATCTGGGTGTGAGGCTAGTGTCTTGCATGTGAATTTTGTTATACACCGTACGATCAGAGGGAATGAGCAAGCCCTTTTACGAGATAAATAGAAATTACAGACTTTTATGGGAATGCAAAGGATATGGAAACTGATTAAACATACATGTTTCAGATTTAGTTTTGAGTCTTTGTGGCTAAAAGAGCATTTTAAGATCCGTTTGTTCATCCACACATCCTTCTATGCATTCTGTCCATCCATCTACCACTTATCCATCTACCCACGCACCGTCTTTTCATTCATCTGTCCATCCACCCTCTCACCATTCACCCACGCAGTCTTACTCCGGCAGCTATATCATGCTGGTTCTGTAGACAGCAGTGATGCGCAGCCTTTATCCCCAGTATTCTCCTGGTTCCCAGGGACATGGAAGAAATCCTGCTCTGTGAATCAGAAGGAAGTACCCCAACCTGCAGGACCTCAGAGGCAAATTTTTGCAAGAAGTATATAACAAGCCAGTGTGATTTTCTGACGATTGGGGAGTCAGGAGATACAGGAATCTTTATTGTTTCCAAAATACTGATCCTAGGGCTTAAAATATATGCTAAAGCAAACTGAATCCTTGGGCCCTCGTCAGCAGGGGAAGAAATGGCTACTGGTGTTTGCTCTTGGAAAGCATGCAAGCCTGGGGTAGAGTGAGGGTGGCGTAGATGGGAATGTTTCTAGGGCCTGGGATCCTGCAGGTTAACTAACTCCATCCCATACCAGTGCTGGGCATCTGGATACTTGAATCTAAAATGCACAACTTGTGTGGCCTGGCAACTTCCTTATCTTCCTGGGCCTTGGTTTTCTCATCTGAAAACAGGGTTAAGAAGAGTCTCTTGCAGGGCTTTGGGCAGATTAAGAAAGAAAATGAATGCAAAAGTGCCTGGGACATTTTGGCTGTTCCATATGTGCTTTTCTCCTAAAAAATACTTGATTCTGTCTCAGAAATTTTCAAACATTTAGGTTCTGATCTGACTGGGAGATTGAGTTTTTTCATGATTTGATTTACTTTTGTGGTATCAGGGCCTTTACTCTGACCCACATCCCCAGTCCTTTCTTTTATTTATTTTTTTGTTTTTAGACAGGGTCTCAGTAAGTTATTAAGCTGCCCAGGCTGGGCTCAAATTTGTGATCCTCCTGTCTCAGCCTCCACAGTGCTGTGCTTATACTCGTGTACCACCATAAGCCAGCATGTTGTTTTTTTTAAAAAAAGGATTTCCTAGGCTTGCTTTCCTTTGAAGCTCAGCAGATAAGACATCATTCTGGCTTTACAGATTCTGGTTTATTCTAACACAAGCACTGCTCTGCCAAAGGCTGTATGGGTGGCACAAGGGCCAATAGTGCCACTAGCTCAGACCCTTGCTACTATAGATGTGGAAGAGCCTGTGTCACTGTTTGGCAGAAGACTGTGCCAGGGTGCTGGGGAGATGCGCCACATTGCAGGTGTGTAATTTCTTGGCTCTGTGGACTCAGCCCCAGCACCGGTGGTAATTATGTCAGCCAGTGGGGCCCAGCAGCAGGAGCGGAACATGACAGCGTCATCCTCTAGGGAGGGGAGGCTCTGGGGACAGATGCTGTGGGAGGCTTCTTTCCGGGGTGATTGTTGGATTGACAGCAGCCTGCCAGATGGAGAGGTTGTCTCTGAGATGGTACTGAATAGGGTGTTCAATGTGTTGCTCAAGGAGCATGTCCTTTGCAGAGAAGCAGCACCCGAGAACTGGTTGGCAGGCTGGCCTGGGTTTTGCTGTGAGCTCACCTAGGGCCTTTGATGATATGGGTGAAGCTATTGAACACTTTCTTGGAGGCACTTGAAATTAGGCAATGAGCTGGGCTGATGTCAGAATGTTGGAACTCAACCCCTCCTCTGTACATTGGTCAGCTTTACCTAATGTACCTAAGTCTTGCTCAGTCTTCCCATCTTCAAAATGGGGTGATAGAAGACTAGACTATGAGAATGATGTGATGCCCCTTAGGAATTATCCTCTTTCCTCCTTTTCAGGTGGAAACCCTGTTTGGCCAGGCCTGGGTAGGAGGAACGACAGGGCTGGGCAGAGGTGAAAGTCAGTGCCATCCTAGCCCTATAGCCAGCAAAGGGTAGGGAATAGGCTTGCATCTTGCCAGGTTGGAAGGAGTGACCAAGGAGCCAGCAGGCAGCTAGAGCACAGGGAAGCAGCAGGCCGTATGCCGGCATCCACGGCTCAGCCTTGGCTCTTTGGGAGACCTCGGAAGGCCATCCACCTTCTGGGGCTCAGTGTTCTCATCTAGAAAGAGGGATCTGTTGTTCATCTGTGCCCCTTCTGGATTATGTGAGGAGGAGACAATGTTGGGCATAAGAATTGAGCCCCAAAGGGAGGTTGGTTCCAGGGACCCCGCCTGCCAGGGACAGACTCCCTGCTGGCCTCACAGAATTGCCCATAGAGCAGAGTGGGTTACCAGCCTCTTAGGTGCATACGCTCAGGGTCATTTGCTCACCCCGGACCAAATCAGTGGAGGCCATTTGTTTTGGTAAAAAGGAAAGATGCTTTGTTCCAGGCTAGCTCTGAGGAGATGGAGGCACCTCGTTTGCTCAGATCGCCACCTCACCACATCTAGGGGTGGCAATGTCTTTCATAGCAAGGAACATGGGGAAGAGGCACACAGTGAGGCAGGGATGGCAGACTGTTAGCCCTCTGAACAGAGACCTCGGAGCCAGCACCTGCTTACTGTCTCAACTGAGAGGAGAGAGTTGAGTTGTAACCAAGCCCAAAGGTGCTAGTTGTCTTTAAAGGAAAAAATAATCTAACTTGTAAAGTTCTCATTTTACAGTGCTGGTCACACTGCTGGCGGTGTTGAGAGGTTGGGTGATGGGGTATGGGGAAGAGCATTGTTTGTCGCCTTCTCCACCTCTGAACCACAGAAGCCTGAGGGTGAAAGCTCTTAGTCTAGGAGAAATTGCAGAATGTCAGAGGGACAAAGGAGTGGGGATGGCTGCCTGAGTCCTACCTGGGGTTAAATAGATCCCTAAGGGGAGGAAAATTGGGGGTGGGCAGGGAGGTCATGGCAGCGAATGCTAGGCAGGAGAGGCAGGGCGAAACTTGGGGAGGATATTCTAGGAGGCTCTGAGTGAGGAGGAAGGTAGGGAGAAGGCTGTGTATTACTTTAAGGTGCCAGGTGCAGTCGCATGTTACCGCAGTTGATCTGGAGGCTCTCCTAGTGAAAGCAGGAATCTGAGACCCCGTAAATGTGGAAGGGAAAGAAAGTGGCCAGGACCAGTTCTGGAAGCTGCTGCTGGGAGCCTAGGGCTGCTGTGTGGCCTGGGAGTGGTGGAGGAAGACAGGAGCCAGCCGGTTGTGCGGAAGAAGGACTAGGAGCCCCTTCTTGTCTGAGGCCTCACAGTAAAGCCTGTGCTGGCCCCTGAACAGCACACTAATTCCTACTCCTGTGTGGCTCAGCTGCCACTCCCCACAACTTTCTTCCTGGGTTTCTCCTGCCCTGCCCTGTTGCCCTGTTACCATGGTTACGTACACTGCCGGTGCCCAGCGACTGCCTCAAGCATTTCAAGATGTCCTTGCCTCAAAGCCACAATAACCACTGGACAAACCTCTGCTTGGGGTGGGGGCACCCTTCCCACGTGGCACAGGTGCTGCTTTACATGAGAACTGAGGACCCTCAAGAAAGTGCTTTCCCTGCTATCACCAGGAGGAGGATTTGCACCTGTGTTCCTCTCTTCCATTCCCATTCTTCTGACCTAATTAATGCCCAGCTCTGAAAATCCACCCCTCCCTCACACTCAAGCACATTCAGAGCCTTGACCTCTTAAAGCCCAGCTCTGGGGTAGATGGGGTGGGAGGAGGAATTCTCACTAGCCCAGAATCTTCTTGTCTGCGTTATCACTTAGCCTATAGAGATGGATTCGTGAAGTTCTTAGCCGGAGGCTGTGCTGAGGCTTTGGAGTCTGCAGATGACAGGGCCATGTCACAAGAAAGAAGGAAGCGGCAGGGGTGTGGGGATGTGCAGGATCTGAGCCTGTGCTGGTGAGAAGGTGTCCAGGTTGACAGAGGGAACCCAGCATGACCCAGTTCAAGTCTTGGTGGCCTTAGGGAGCTGTAAGGAGGAGCCTGCCAGGTGAGACACCTTGGAAAGGAGTTGAAACTTTCTCCCCAGGGCAGTGGTGACAGTTTAGTATTCACTGTCCCTGAACACAACAGAGAGCACAGGAGCAGATCCCAGCAAGGCTTCCCAACCCTGCCCCATGGAAAGCTCCACCTTTCTCTGTCCTTCCATCCTGACATTGTGCACCAAAATTGTAGGTCAGGCTCCCCTTAGGGAAACATCTGAGAGCTATTCCCTACTTCCTGTGTTCCCCATCCTCTCATTCCCAGCCCTCCCTCTGCTGCTTGATGGTCCCACATTGAGTGTCCAGAGCCTGAGCTGCTGGAGGTAGAGGAGTGGGGAGGCTCAGTGCTGGGGATGGAGCATTCGGGAAACAGCCCTGCCACACTCTGCTCGGAATTCCTTCTCTCTCCCTCTTTTAAGTGTGCATGTGGATCCCCTCCCTGCTCTGTCTCCCTTCTCCCTTTGGAGCTCCTGGCCAGCTCCCATCGACCAGGCTGGCTCCAGTGCTCTGCCTTTCTGGTGATTTCCTGGCATCCCTAGGACCTTCTAGGCATCTCTCCTGGGCTCTTCATGTCCATGGCAGGTAGGCAGCTCTCCCTAGTGTGCTGCAGGGGAGCTGTCTGAACAGTCCCCAGCCTGCCTCCCTTCCTGAAATGCCCCTTGGAGTGAATCATTTCCTTGAAGCTGGGAGTCTCATTGGCCTCCAGAGGCCCATAGAGGGATGCACTTAAGCTCTGAACCTCAACTCCACCCACAGCCTACTGGTTGTGGCTTTCTCTCTCCCCAGCCCAACAGGAGGAGGGAGGATAGCCCTGCAGGATGGAGGTCCATGGGTGACCGGAGAATCCTGTGGCTGTGACAGGGAGGATGGCTTGGTCTCAGACCAGTAATTTATTTGATTCTATGAGGAAGGTTTGTGTAGCAGAGCAGAGGATGGTCACAGAGGGAAGAGAAGAAAAGATGCCAGAAGTCTCTGGCCAGAGCTCACCTCTGCTGGAGCCCAGGATGCAGGGATTCATTTCAGACCCCAGAGCAACCACAGGCTGGGTTTTACCTCAACTGTGGCGTCTGTGCACACACTCCCTCTGTACCCTGTTTCCTTTCCCCCTCTGACCTGTCGCCTCTTCTGTCTGTCCTTTGCCCTGAACCCCCACACTGCCCTCTCACCTGCCTCCTCTCTACCCTCAGTCTCTTCTCCCCTTGGGTTGTGACATGGGCAGGAGGTGTAGTACATGCCACAGACCTCAGAAGAGGAGGGTCCCCATCCCTGCAGGGTGTTCAGGCCTAGTACGAGGAGCTCCCTCTGAACTGCTCAGACCTGCAGACTCGTCACACAGACCTTCCCTCTCCCCCCTTCCTGAGCAGCTGTGTGGCAACTCCAGGAGCTCCTGAAGTATGCAGTGCTGTGGAGTTCCAAGGACAGGTTTGGGGCCAGACACCGGTGATGGGAAGGGGCAGCAGGTGAGACTAGAGAGTGAGTTCAGCACCCTTCTTTTGAGTGAGCAGAGGAGCCCCCAGCCTGGTGGCTTCCTGTATTATCTGATGCTCTTGCTGTGGTTGTGGTGAATTGCAAACACATGAGGAACATTCCAGAAAACAGCTTGTCTGTACTCCTCACCAGTGATGTGAAAGAGAGGCTGAGGGCCTTTTCCACATGAAAGGAAACCAAGGAGGACACAGCCCCAACATGCAGGTCATGATCCCAGTTGCATCTTGGAATGGGAAAAACTGACCTGCTGCAAAGGATAAAAGTAATTATTATACATTTCTTTCTGAAGCAGAAAGAAAGATGCTAAATGTCAGCCATTGGTGCATCTTGATGAAAGGTGTATGGTTGTAGTAATAGTCTCACAGTGTTTCTGCAGCTTTGAAATTTTGCCAAATCACAAATTGAATTCTAGGATGTTGAGCCCTCAAAATATTCCCTTGCCCACCTAGGCCAAGGGCACTAGGCTTCTCTCCTTGGAGGACCTGTTTCTGGGAATGTGGCCACTTACCTGGTTAGCAGCCCAGGGTGATAGGTGGGAGCCTTGCAGAGACCGGCACCTGCTTATCTTCTGTCCTCACTTTGTTTTTTTTTTGTTGTTGTTGTTTTGTTTTGTTTTTGGTGTTTCCAAAATAGAGTCTCTCTGTGTAGTCCAGACTGGCCTCAAACTTGCAGTGATTCTCCTGGCTTAGCTTAAGGTGCTAGGATTACTGGCATGCACCACCATGCCCAGCTGTCCTCATTCTTTATCAAACCGTGCTCTACCCACAGGCAACTCGGGATGTGGTGCTGAGCCGGGCACCGGAGCAGGAGGAAGACCGGAAGCTGAGCCTGCGGAATGCCGCGGCTATCTATGACCTCTTGAGCATCACGCTGGGCAGAAGGGGCCAGTATGTCATGCTCTCTGAGGTACGGCCCAGAGTCAGGTCAGACATAAAGAGAATCAAGGGGAGCTACCATTTGCCCCTTCCTCACTTGTCACTTTGCTGTTTGGCCTTGTCCTGGCCCTGTGACCTCGGCTAGTCCTACCAGCCTCAGCTCCCTCATCAGTGAAGTGGGAGTAATTAGACACCCTATCTCAAGGTTGTTGGGGGGAATACATGAGCTCATATATGTGAAAAGATGGATACTGTCACGCAGGGAATCATAAGTGTGTGCTGTTACTTTTATTGGGTGCGTACATTTTGAAAGCACATTCGCAGGTCTTATTTCATGTGCTCTTTATCATGGCCCATGAAATCATCCACATGTTACGGAGGTGGGAACCAAAGAGTAGATGGGGGAGACACTTCGCAGCATACCCCTGGGTGTCCACAAGAATCAAACAGGACCTCCTCTGCCTCCCGAAGACAGTAATTAGGACAGTGGTTACCCTGGGAGCGGACAGGAAGGCTGGGCTGAGAGGAAATACTGACCGTTTCCCCTTCTCCAGTGTCTGGAGCGAGCCATGAAGTTTGCGTTTGGAGAGTTTCACCTTTGGTACCAAGTGGCCCTCTCCATGGTGGCCTGCGGGAAGGTAAGGCGTGGGGTACTGGGATTGCACCTGCCCTCTCAGGCAGCCCTCTCCTGCCCTCCCTTTGTGAGCAGGCAGAGGGCAGGTGGCAGTCTAGCACTGCCATGCAGCAGCGGTGGGTGTGAGTCTCCAGGAGAGTGGGTGAAAAAGACATCCTGTATGAATGCCACATGCAGGTGTGAGTCTAGATGCTTTTCTCTAAGTGTGCTGCATACTGGCCTGCCTGTGAACTAGTCCTTGGGGAGAAGGAGAAGGGGATGATCAGCAGCACCCACAGGGGAGTGTAGAGGGAGACCTATGGGGTGCTTATAGCTAGGGTTTAAAGCCACACAGCCAGCCACAGGGACGGGGAGTGGGCTGCCCAGAGCAAGGGGCACAGGGACAACACTTGCTCTCCATCTACCCGGCCCGTATGCCAGCACCCCTGATTTCCCCTCAGATCAGAACTGTGCTTATATAAGCCTCTATTTTAAGCAGTGACATGAAAGGAAAACCTTTCTGGAGCTGAGTACTGAGGGTGTTGGGGCTGAGGATGCTCCGAACACAGGAAATAAGGTGGCAGGAGCTTGCAGATGGCTCCGAGAGCTGTAAATACCCAGAGCCCTTTCATAGGGCTGAGGGAATCCCTCGCCCCCGGCCCATCTGTGCCCTGTTCCATTTCTGGCCCCACAGCCGACTCTGAGGAGGGCCCTCCCAGTGTGCCAGTGCCGCCTCCATGAGGAAGGTTGCCAGCCAGCTCTGAGCCTCAGAGGCGGGGCTGGCCAGGGCCTGGCATGCAGGGAGAGGCAGGGGTACCACTGAGATCGGAGGAGCCTCACCACCCCTTTCTGCTAGGCATTTGTCTCTCTCATCTTCCCCCTATCATGTGGGCCACCCTGAGAGCACCTTGAAGTCACAGCATGGTCACTTGGCTGTGTGCTCAGCTGGGTCTTGTCAAGGCTTAGGGAGAATTCAAAACACAGGAGAGGTCCTAGTTCTGGGATTAGGAGGCTCGGGTGGGATGTGGATGGGTGGAGGTCTCTGCAGGGAGCAGTGTGCCAGGCAGAGAGGCTGCCTGTGTAGAGGTAGAGGGGCTGGAAAGATGACCTGTGGGAAAAGAGGAGGAGGAGAGGAGGATGTAGGTATGGACCTTGTGTAGAGCCTGGCACACAGTTCATAGCAATGTGGGGCACCTTCTTCCTGCCACCAGCAAACATAGAAAGCACCTGTAATCTTCTGATACCATGGGCTGAGAGAGGCCTGGGACCAGAGCAGTGATTTGCAGCCTTCTGTGGGTCCTGGACCCTTAGAGGAGCTGAAGAAAGCTGGAGACTCTTCCTCATAAAAGAATACTGCACATGGAAATTAGCTTTAATTTTAAGAGAGGTTTTGGAGGCTCAGGAAAAGGTAGCACAGTCACCCAGGAGAAAAAGGCTCTTCCACTTCTTACAGAGGAACAGCCAGGCTGAGACAGGTCTGGACACAGTCTAGCACCCTCCCAGCATCCCAACTTCACTGGTTGCAGTGTGGCTTCTTCAGGAGCCAGTAGGGTAAGAAACCAGCTTACAGGCAGGCAGTTGAATCAGATGACTTCCTGCATGAGGCTGCTAGGGCAGAGTCCACCCACCTGTGCGGTTGGTGCATCAGGGGATGTTCTGAAAACCACTCTCCACCTCCCACAAGGGGACCCACATGGCAAGTCAGCTGGTGCCCAGGCAGCCCTCAGGGGTGTCCAGAGCTTGCCTCTGCCAAGAGCCCAAGGTGAGAACCCAGGTTCTCTGTCTTTTAGGCGATGAGACTGGGCAGATACAAATACACCTGGCCTTTCACCCTCTAGGAAGAACAGATGAGTTCCATGGCATGATTTAGGTCTTTCCTTCTCTTGGTCTCTATGCAGCAATTGCATTGGCTGTGTTGCTAGGTAACCAGCATGACAAGAAAAAGAAAACCGGCTGCGTCTGTTGAGTCCTCAGATGGCTCCTTAAATAGCCATGTTTTCTGGTTTGCATAGGGGTGATCTGGGAAGGGTGGGGTGGAATGAAGAGGGTCAGGGTGAGAATCCTATGTTTCAAGGATCCCAAGGTCAGTTGTCCAGAGAAGCTGAGGCACTGCCTGGGGCTTGTGCAGGTGTGTGCAGGGAGGGCCTTGGTGAGAGCTAGGAGTGGCGTTCCCAGGAAAGGTTTGCCAGACAACCCTTCACACTGCAGCCTACACTGGGCATCCTGTGTAATCTCCCACTCTGTTGGAGTCAGCATTTGCTGGCACTCTCTTGTTCTCAGCTTTCTACTCGCTTGTCTTGTGAGAGAGCAGGAGGGGATGGTGGCATTTGTCTTTTGCTCCCAGCCTTTCTGTAATCTCCTGGGGACAAGAGACAGTTTTATCCCCCTTTCCACAGTGATGTTACAACCACTGGCCCAGGGCTGCAGTTGGCCTCATGATCTGAAGAATATTAGTCCGTTTTCTGTTACTACACTGAAATACCTTGAGGCTGGTACATTCATAAGCAAGAGAGATTTATTTAGCTTGTAGTATTGTTGTTCAGGGACTTAGTGTGGCATTGGCTCTGCTGTAATAGGGACCTCATGGAAGATGTCATCCTAGCGTGAGTGTGTGCGATGGGAAAAATCACATGGTGGGGTGGAATGCAACCGGGAAGGAGCTTGCCTTGTTCTTTTTATAGCACCTGTCTTGAAAGAACTAGCCATGGTCCCACAGGAATTACATCCATCCCTCCTGAGGGCAGTGCTCCAATTACCTGACTGACTCCCATTAGGCCCCACCACCTGGAGAGCAAGGCTCCAGCACATGACCCCTTCAGAGACGTGCTCAAACCATAAGCAAACAACTTTCCTGTTGCTGGAACACAAAACTGACACCCACAGCTTAAAGCAGGAGAGGTTTATTTGGGCTTATAATTTCAGAGGGGTGAGTCCATTCATAATTGGCCAGATCCAAGGCACTATCGGGGACCTGGCCTAGATCCACAGACTCCCAAACAAGGGTATGGCAAAGGCTTAAATAAATGAGATAACTGGCATGATTTTAGGGCTCCAGGAGTATCAAAACCCTCTACAGAAGTCGAGGAGTCTGGTGGCTGAGACATACCTCTGTGCAGCCTATATTTATTTTTTTTTTTCAAAAAAAATGGGAAACAGACTTGGGAGTGCTTCAAGGACTTTGCAAGTAACAAATTATATTAACAAGGAGAAGTATTTTAGGTGAAGATCTCCATGTTGCATTTCACTATGGGGGTGAAATGCCTGCGGCTGCAGTCTTTAGCTAATTGGAGCTGGAGCCAGGTGTCCTTAGCTGTTGTCTTGCCCCAGCCATGCAGCCACCCCCACATGTGTGTTCAATTTCCAGTTTTGATGGCTCCCAACAAAGCACAAATGGGGGTGAGTGGGTCTCCTAGAGCCCCCTTTCCTTGGTAACACCCCAAGTAATGGGAGCTTGACCTGTCACAGTGCTAGTTACATACATACCTACCTCAGGTTCTCACACGTGTGAAGGGTGACAGCCAAGAGTACCCTGGGAAGTGATGGAGTCAGTCAGAAGGTTCTGGCCCTGTTGTGCTCATGTAAGTGCACGCAACAGGAAAGCTGGCCGCCTCTCTGGCCAAGATCAGCACCACAGAGGCCATAAAAGGTTAAGATCTTAGGACTAGGCTGTGCAAATCTGAGCCCAGCCACTTACAGGCTGGCTGTGTAACTTTAAAACAAGCTCCTAGTGTCTCTATATTTTGCTTTGCTTGCCTGTAAAGTAGGGGTCTAGTGTCTACCTGTGAAAATTCAGACTTCAGGTTTATAAAACAATTAGAACAGAGGTCAGCAAACTTTCTGTAGAGGGTCAGACAGCGGATGTTTTTTACTCTGCAGGCTAATCTTTCACAGGTCTTTAACTCTGCATTTATCATGCAGACAGCCACAGATGATATATAAATGGAAAGGTATGGCTGAATTCCAGTAAAACTTTATTTACAAAAATAGGTGGAGGGTCAGTCTTGGCCTGCATCTTGCCATAGAACCAATCCTGTCGGTGTTGGTAACATCCCTGCCTGCACCCAGATCCTGCCAGCTCTGTCCGCACCTAGCCAAGTCCCTGGGGCCCTGTCAGGCCTGTAGTCCTGCCTGGAGATTGTCTCAGGCCCTGCCTACCTGATTTCTCCCTTTCATCTCTGCCAGTCTTTGTGTACCCTCTAGCTTCCACTGACCTGTCTGCCAGTGCCAATTTAGAGAGCCCTTTCTATCTACAATGGCTCACATTTGCATTCCTTGGGGAAAGCTTCCATCTGTTGTCACCTCCGCTGTTGTTATGTCATCTCCTCCATGCCCTCTGCTAAGGCAGCTAAGCTGTCAGGAGGCTGGGAGCTCAAGCAGGGCCTTCTCCCAGCTGTGGCCTTTGCTGTAGGCAAGGGTCATGGCATCCATTCTTCATGTGAGGAAACTGAGGCTCAAGGAGGGACATTGCTTCCAACACCCCTGGACTCCTCCACTGGGGCCTCTTCTTGATGCTTGAGAGGAAAGGCGCCCAGAGTATGACTGGCAGTCAGGGGACCTCCCCTGCCCTGGGCACAAGCCATCCAGTCATGGAGACCTGGCAGCTGGTGATGGTGTACCCTGCTCTTCCGCAGTCTGCCTACGCTGTGTCACTGCTGCGGGAATGCATGAAGCTGCGACCCTCGGACCCCACCGTGCCCCTGATGGCTGCCAAGGTCTGCATTGGGTCCCTGCACTGGGTAAGTGTGCTGTGGGGCTGGGTAGGCCGGGAGAGGAGCAGATGTTCAAGAGGTACACGGTGGGGGGAGCCTGGTTTGGCATGGAAGTGAGCCTGCCAGCTGTGCATGTGGTTGAGGGGAAAGTTTATTAGAATCTGTTGACCCATTCTCCATGGTAAGTCCCTCCAAAGAGGATGGCAGCAGATTTGTGGTTCTACACTGAAATATGGTCTCCGGAGTGTCAAATGAAGGGAAAGAACAGCCGCCCAGCAGTGGGGAGTGTGGGCAAGACCTTGGGGCAGCCTAGACTGACACATTATCTCGGACGGCCTCACATCTGATATATAAGGGCCAGCCAGGCTGATGCTAGGGCTCAGAGCTTACCCTTGCCAGGAATGAACCTATCTCCATGTCCTGTTCTTTTTTTTTGGCTTGAGCCCAGGGGCCTTTGCTCTGAGCTACATCCCCAGCTATTCTTTACATTTTGAGACACAATCTTGTTAAGTTGCTAAGATATCCAGGCTGGACTCAAACTTAAAATCCTTGTGCCTCAGCTTCCCAGTGTGCTGTACACCACTACACCTGGCTCTCTTGCTTATGACTTTTGCCATGACCCTGGGCTCCACTGCCTGCTCCCTGCCCTCTGCTAAGGCAGCTAAGCTGTTAAGAGGCTGCAGCTCAAGCAGTGACTTCTCCACAGCCATGGCCTTTACTGCAGGACCCAAAGACCCCCACTCCTCAAGCATTAGTACTTTGCAACAGTGAAAGAACACAGAGCCAGGAATCCAGGGCCCTGGACCAGGTCTGCTTGGTTGCAGTTCCAGGTCTGGGGAGCTCTTGGGCCCAGTGCACTGGTCCCAGGCCAGGGATGCCTCTGGACCAGGGATGCTCTAACTAGCAGCTCACTTCTGGGCTTCTTTAACTCCCAGTCGGCCTCCTGATGTCAGGATGGTCCTGTTTCTACCATCTTGGTGACACAGAGTAAGTGCCTGTTCTTCCCCCTTCTTGGCATCCTCCCTCCGTTTCTCCTCAGGCTGACTAGCCCCAATTTCTTTACATACTCTCTAGGCCCATGCTCTTCCAGAGTTGATGCTTTGCCTAGAGCGGCTCTTCTTGACTTCTGTGGGCCTGATACCCCACTCTGTTCCTAACTGCTGTGCATCTAGCTTGCTCTGAGGCAGCAGAAACCAGGCTCCAGGTACATCTAGCAGGTGCTTCATAGTTAGCAGCCTTGACCAAACTGCCACTTTGTCCTCGTCTGTGTCCAGCAGGCAAATCACAGGCCCTGGGAAAGGAGGTGATAAGCTCCCTGCCAAGCCTACATTCTAATGTTTTCTCTCAGTATAGGAAACTGAGCTCATCCCTCTCCCGTGTCCTTACCTGCTGGGTCCCTATGAGCTGCTCCTGTTTTTGCTGTGGATAGGAAGGACTCCCTGGCCTAAAGAGGGGCTGAAAACAGCACCTTTCCCTTTCTCTCCATGTGCTCAGGTCCCCTGTGTTGTATAAGCCATCTGTCCCCTTGGGTCCCCCTCAGGAGAGCCCCAGACTAAGAAGAGGGGGGACACTTTCAGAAGCTCTCAGCTCTTGGAAAGGCCAGTGTGATGAGGCGGTTAAGTTTTATACCCATGAGTGGTCTTAAGTAAGACATGTAACTTCGCAGGATGATCAGGGAGGCTTCTGGGTGAGGTGGCTTTGGACAGGGATCTCAGGGTGGGGAGCAAAGGGGTGGGCTGGTGGCAGTCCTCTCCATCACAGCTTGCTTTCTCCAGCCTGTCATTATCGGGGAACCCTGTGCTCCCTAAGACGATTGGGAAAGCTGTTGACATCTTGAGGTGGGGCGCCATTCTGGGCAAATTGTGAGTGTGGGTGGCTTAGGCACGCGGGCAGAGTGGAGCATCGCAGGCTGAGCACGTGCAGCAGAGGGTATGAAAAGGGCCCTGCGACCCCCAGCTCAGACCCCAGCTTGTTCCAGGCCTCCTCAGAGGGCCCTCAAGCTCATGGCTGAGATGAAGCCTGAAATACCCTCATCTCCGGAGGCCTGGGGGAGGGGTGGGCATCTGTGCTGTGCAAGGCTGCCAGCTCTGAGGGAGCTCTGGGTCCACCCAGCCAGCAAGCCCTTGCCAGGAAGCCCTAAATTTAGGTCTTCCCACCATGGAGGAGCTGTTTCCCTCCACAGCATAATTACAGTAATTATGTGCATTCAGATTACATGGTAATAAAATTAGGATCAAATCAGTCCAAATTGAAATCAGATGAGTTAGGAGCAAAGTAATCAATGACAACATAAATAGAAAAGCCCAAAAGGAAGCTTAAACATGCAGACTTGTCATCAGGTCAGGGAGAAGGGCAAGCTGTTTAACCTCCACTCAGCAGCTTGTTACTGTTGGTCTGCTTGAAACTGGCATTGAAATCATGGACAGGCCGGTAGCTGGGGGTGGGTTGCCTGCACCCACTTTGGCCTGGACGACCCCTCCCATCCTGAAGACCCTCTTGTACCCACCTTGGACACTGATCTCCTGTGTTATGACTCTCATTGTTTCTTAAAGACAAGACTCTTCTTCCCTGAACACCTAGCCAGAGCTGGGGGATGGGACCCTGCTGGCCTGGGAGCAGTTTCTTCACAAACAGTTCTGTCTTGTATGGCCTGGTCCCAGTTAGGTAAGGATCCATCTGCTTTATTCACCACACCTCAAACATTGGTCTCTGCTCCCCCTGGGGGAAGCCCACATAGATGAGTGACTCACACCTCACTGGCCAGGGCGGGAACAGGTGGGCAGTCTGTGCTGGGTCTCCCTCCCCGTGGTCTCCCTGTGTTCTGTGGCTAGTTCTCTCTCCCTGTGGGCAGACTGTCCTCCAGGAAGATCAGGAAGGAGGCAGCCTAGCACTCTGTCCCCAAGGCTACAGCAGGAGGAGAGTCCGACCATGGGCAGGGGGCTGTGAGTGCATGAGGCAGGGTCTAACTCCTGAAAGGTGTTGGACCCCCTACTCGTCACCTGCCTTCGTGGCTCTGGCTCATTCAGCCGGGCCCCAAGAGCTGAGGACGGAAATCTGGGTGGACCGTTCGGCCTAGCTTGCAGGAAGGGAAGCTGAAACTGGGGCATTTGAAAAAGAAGTTTCGTCAGGCGGAACCAGCCTACTGGCCACGTGCCCAGGGGTGGAGCATCTGCTGTCCCTGCATCCTATTCTTGTGCCCCGAGCCAGTGTGGGTCACCCCAGGCTGGGACTGGATCTGAGACCAAGGGTCCCCCCAGGTGCGGTCAGTGGAGGGACTGGTGTGGTCACCTGCTAGTTACAGGGCGTAGGGAGCAGGACTGGAGCAGGTTTAGGGTTGGGCGGAGCATGAGGTTCTTGGAGTTGGGGAGGCCTCCCAGGCTCTAAGCTGGGGACATGGTGACAGTGCTGAAACCAGAGAGGCCTGTAGGCAGCCAGCCTACCTTGCTTTGACTTGACCAGCATCCTGCCAAGTTCCCATTTTTGGAACAGGAGAAAAGACATGCAGCCGTGTTTTAGTATCCCTCTAAACACATTTACTTAAAATTCATTAGATTGCAAAGATTGACAGTGCCCTGCAGGTGGCATCAAGGACAGGGTGTTACACACAGATGGCAGAGAAGGCTGTGAAATGGAACATGGGCTTGCTCAGCTCTGTAAAGGGTTGCAATGTGTCTTTCATGGGGGCACAAGTGCCTCAAGGGGGCTGGGAGGCTGGTGAAAGAGCACAAGCTGTGAAGGAGATAGACTATGGTTCAACTCCACCTACCCATTCATTAGCTGTGTGACATTTTCTCTGTCTGTGTCTCCATTTCCTCATCTGCAGTATGGAACAGTCACCTCCACTGACACAGAGTGGCTGTGAACATTAGAGGTAAGGAGTGCCCTTGCTTGGCACATTGCAGGTACCTGGCAAGTGGTCAATATTGCTGTTAGAGCCCCTTTGAAATAGCAGGTGTGGCCTTTATGTCTTGACCCTCAGTGTTTAAATTCAGGAGTGGGCAGAGTCAGAGGATGGATTATGTATTCATGAGGCAGGGGGGAGACAATGCCAGCTTCCGTACCACCTCGTAGAAATTAGGCAGTACTATTCTTCCCTGGAAGGCAAGGTGGATTTCCTGCAGAGCAGCCACCAGCAGGCTCTGGACCGGGTAGGAAGGAGTGAGGAGAAACTGGAGATGTCTTGGAACAGAGCCTTGCTCCAGAAGTGGGCTTCCTCAGTCCCTAGGCAGAGAGGAAGAGATTGAAGAATCTTAGGGTGAAGCTTTTCAGCCACTGCAGGGTGGTTCACTGAGGTGGCTCTGGAGAAACCACATTAGGACAGCTGGAGAGAAGTCACAGAGAACCTTTCCTTACTTACGGAAAGCAAAACCAATCCATCACAACCGTATCCATCACAACCTCTGGCCTGGCCTTCAATGTATCCGTTTTCTAAAAAAAAAAAATGGAAAGCCACGTGAACCAGGTAGCCTTAGAGTCGGGAAACCTGGGCTGCAGATACAGTTCTGTGCTTCCTGGCCAGGTGACCATGGGGAGCCAGGTGGGACCAAGATGCTGAGAGCAGGTGCCAGGCCTCTCTGAGCTGTCCCGTGAGGGCAGTGTTGTTAGATACAGGGCCATAGCCACTAGCAGGCCGTGGAATAGTCAGGCTTAGGGACAAAAAAAAGGCAGGTGGTAGTGTGCCCTGTTCTGGAAGGTTTTGATGCCACTTCCTCATTTGTTAGTGCATCTCACTCATGTATAGATGCATAGCAGTTGTGGTATATATGTAATAGTACTAAGAGTCCTTGACGGGTACTGCTGTGAGCATTCAGGTCATCCCAGTCTCTCAGCAACTCTATAAGGGTGCCACCTTTAGCATCCCCATTTTACAGGGGAAACCGAGGCATAGCAAAGCAGGGTGGCTTTTTACAGAAGAGGGCCCAAGGCACAGCAAGATGAAGTGATTTGCTTAAGGGCACACAGGAAGTAGCCATGCCAGGACTTGAGATCAGGCACTGTGGCACTGGCGCTTTGTCCTTGCTATCACGTAGTCTGCCTTGTGCAGAGAGCCAATCATGAGGGTAGAGCTGATCTCAAGTTGGCTGGGGTGCCAACACTTCTAAGCAAAGGAGGCAAAGTCAAGTGTCCCAGACTTGAGCATTCCAGTGCTTGCTTCGGTGAAGAGGAACAGCGCACCTGAAGTGTTTTGTTTTGGTCCTACTTTTAGTTTTAGCTTTTGCATAGCACCCGTGTCTGTGAATACTGGTGCTGTTGTGCTGTCTGTTGTCTTAACCAAATTAATAGTAATACTTTCTCTTGTCATCAGCAATGTCTCCACACGCAGGAAGCCAGCTGTCTGGGGTGGAACTAGAAGGGAATCTCTGTGGTGTTACATTTCTCATGGTACCTTACAGCCTTGTATGTTTTGGATTCTCCCCCTCTGCATAGTGGAGCCTTTGCTCCTTCAGTCTCTTGTTTTCTTGTTTTTGCATGCATGTCACAGAGGCTGTGCCCATGCTGGGAATCCAGCTCTTTTGCTCCCCAGAGCGAGTGGCCTCTGTGTCAGGGCCTCAGTCCAGACTCCAGGGAGAGACAGATCCCACCTGCACCCTCTCCCCTGATGTGGCCAGGAGTCAGGCTCTGGGATGCCTGGAACTGCCCATACCACTGGGGCTGGAATTGTCCCTACATAGGCATGGATCCAGCCCCCCAGTTGACTGACTTTCTAAGCCCCTGTCTGAGGAGATGCCTATGGTTATAGGGCGTTTGCATTTGGTGGTGGTGGAAGGCTTGTGTGTGATGTGTCTAGCTTCTTGCTGAGGCTGGGGTGACCTCAGGGTTGGAAGGAGCATCCTGCCTTCTCTGGAAGCTGATTTCTCACAGTACCACGCAGATGTAGGTCCACTGCTGCACCAGGCAGGGGGCAGGCTGGGTAGGAGGGAGAGGGCATTTCTTGGAGGATTTTGGATCAAAATAGGCACAGCTCTCACCCTGGCTGTTGTGGCCCTTGCCAACCCCTCCAGTCTGTCTGCTGTGGATGTCCCAGGGTGACCATGAGGCCTGTTGCGTGTTGTGTGTGATGACGTGTGCACGCGTGACCCATGCCAGTTGATCCTTTTCCAACTGGAACAGTCCTCTGCTCCCAGGACAAAAACAGCCCCAGGCCTTTTTCCCCTGTAAGTTTTAGCTCCTGCTGTGTGAGGGAATGAGCTCCAGATGTAGCCCAAGTCATAGCCTGCACACTGCACAGGGCTGGCCATGTGCAGCACAGGCCCTGTCCCTATTCTGGCTGCCCTGCTGAGCAGTGCAGGCACCTGCACAGGGTCTAGCAGAGCCACATGAGGAAGGGAGCCAAGGGCCTAGACTTCAGAGGACTGGATTTGGGGCCAAGGAAGCTTCTCTGTCGAGTGGCATCCTGTGATGAAGAGCACAAGACAGACACCCATGGGAGACAGACAGGTCCTGGGGGTTGCTTCCTGGCAGAGGAAACAGCTGGGTTTTCTGCTCAGTGGTTGAGTGGCCCAGACAAGCCTCCAGCCTTTGGTCATGCTGCGTGTGTGTGAGCCAGCTCTGTTCTTGTCTGCATTTACCCAGCATCATTGCAGACTGGCAGCTGTGTTGCCTGCCATGCCCAGGGCAGCAGACCATCCCCAGTGACCTCTGCCTCTCCTCTTTGCAGCTGGAGGAGGCGGAACACTTTGCCATGATGGTGATCGACCTTGGAGAGGAGGCTGGGGAGTTCCTCCCCAAGGGCTACCTGGCCCTGGGTCTCACCTACAGCCTGCAGGCCACTGACGGTGAGTACCAGGCCCTGGGAGGCCTCTGCCTGGAAACAGAGGTTTGCTTCCAGACTCCAGAGCATCTTGTCCCTCCCTGTCAGTCTCCAAAGACACCGTCCACTTTTGGGATGGAGCTACTTGTACGTGCATGTACACACACCCACACATTCACACACACGCTCCACATCTACTGTTGTTCAGATGGCTGCAATCCGGCATTACTCTTCTGTTCTAGGAGTCAGGCTTTCCTTCTCCTAGGCCTGGCCAGCCCCTCTGAGCCAGGCTGCTATGTTCTATGGACTTTTGCTGCTTTCTTTTTAAAATTTTGGTTTTTTGTTTTTTTTTTGAGATAGGGCCTTGCTATGAAAGGCTGAACTCACTATGTAGCCCAGGCCAGCCTAGAACTCATGGCAGGCCTCCTGGCTCAGCCTCTCAAATGCTGCAATTACAGATGTGTGCCACCATACCCACCTTCCTAGGACTTTCTGTGTGGGGTTCCCAAGAGCTCTCCACCCCACTGTGGCTTCATTCTCATTCACCACTGTGATCTGGGGTCTTTTAATTCCCCTTCACATATGGCAGTGCTGAATATACAGCAAGTGTCTAATAAATACTTGTGTCTAGCTGATAGATTCCATTCCTTTTTGCCCTGGCCCTGCCAAATCAGCCCAAGCCATTGATTGGTAGGTGTCTACTTTGGTGTCTGTCTTAATCACTTTCTTTGTGCTGGGACAAAATACCTGATACCAGCAACTTGCAGGAGGAGAGGTATATTTTTAGTCCGTGGTTGGCTGATCCAAGCCAGGAAGGCCTGGTGGAAGGGTCTGGGCAGGGTAAGACTGTTCATATCATGGCAGCCAAGAAGCAGGGAGAGAAGTGACCAGCTGGAAAGGTAACCCCCAGTGACCTCCCTCTCTTAATCAGGCCCCACTCACTAACAAAAAGTCAGTATAACACCCCCAAATTCAATCACCTTCCAGAAGCCCTGCCTGTGAGTACATGAGGCTCCTTGGGAGACATTTAGATGTAAAGCATGTCATTGCAGCCTGAGATTTGGCAGTGATGGTGCCCACTCAGATCTAACCTGAAACAGGATGGATGGACCCTTGCCTCCCTCCCCAGAGGGCCAACCCCTAGGAGTCCCTCTGACCTGGCCTCAGAGACCCCTTCCAGCCCGACTTGTCTGTGGAGGAGAGGAAGTCATGTATGGGAGCCTGGTGCAGGGCAGCTCCTGCTTCTCAGAACTGGCAGTCATGGTGTTAAAGATGTCTACAATCTGTGCATGGACTGGTGAGGGAGGTACAGCCAGCTTGAATCAAAGCAGCATTTTTGCCTTATCCCCTGTCCAAGCAGTGGCTGTGTTTGTAGCTTTCTAAGCCAGGGTGCTCTGGCAACCATCAGCGCCTGGTCCTTCCCATTGGGAACAGGTCCAGTCTGGGTGGGGCCTAGACATAGTTATAGGAAAGCTGCCTTGGGTGCTCAGAGTGCCCCCCCCACAAGGCCAGGAACACCTGCCATGCTGCATTTAAAGCTGGGTGCCATTTACAGAGAAGGATTAACAGTAGCACTTGGATTTGAAGCTCAGGAAGGCACATGGTAAATATGGTAGTCTTTGGGTGCCCTGGGTGGGACACCTGGGATGCAGAGTGCTTGTGGGCTTGAGCCTCTGAGTGGGCCAACTTGGTGCAAATAGCGAGGAAGGTAGAAGCAATCAGGGTACCAGAACTGCCAGGAGGCCAGGGCAACAGCATCAGCTGGGCCTCACAGACCTTTAAGTTTTCCAGGCAGGGCCCCTTGGGTTCCTCCCTGCAGAGCTCCTATGCCCAGAGGCTGGGGCATGGAGGACTGGGAATACAGTTCCTCATCCCCCGTGTCTTCCACAGCCACCCTGAAGTCTAAGCAAGATGAATTGCACCGGAAGGCACTGCAGACACTAGAGAGGTGAGGAGACTGTTACACACCACAGCCGCCCCTTCTGCTTTGGGGGATGAGGTGGCATTTCACGTGCTTTACTTCATGTGACTCTGTCATGTTTTCTCTATGAAGAAGGTATTTCTGTTTGCATGTTTTGGACCAGTAAACTAAATAGCTAAGAGGTTCCCCAGCAGGGACAGACTGTCCTCAGCTCAGGGCCTCTGGCTTTCAGTGTTGGTGGAATCAGGTGGTCACCTAAGAGCTGGAGCTATGGCCACTGCGTCCAGGGTTCTCCAGTGGAAATAATGACCCACAGCTGTTGTGATGATTTTATGAGATAACGTAGGAAAAGCACCTGCAGTGTCCTGCATGTTGCAGCCATAAATAGTGTCTGCCTCCTCCCAGCACCTCTTAGTCTCCCACAGACCTTAGCAGAGACTTCGGCAGCCTGGGCTCTCAGGCCCACCCCTGATCAGCCTTTAGTCACTACACCCACTCCCAACCTCTGCCTCACATCTGCGCATTGTCTCTCTGAGCCTGTGTGACTTGCTCCCTCCTAAACATGGAGGTGGCCATTTTGCTTGGTGGGGCCAGGAGGAATGGGGGCCTTTCCCTCTCTGCTCCCTCCCCACCTGCTCTTTATTCTCAAGGCTGCTTGCCCAGTGAGGCTGTCCCCTGCCCTCTCCTACAGGGAGTATTGTCCTCTGTCCCTTGGGGTGAAAGCCATAGCAGGCTAACAGATGGACATATGTGCGTCTGTCTCTGCTCCCTAGTCCCACCATTCTTCACGTTGTCACCTTGAGGCTCACGTCCCAGGTGACCTTACCTCAGCTAGTGAAGCCCTCAGAGCTGCTGCTCTTGCCTTGTGCTGGCTGTGGGTCTTGTGCCTGCACCTTTGTCCCCCTGCTGGGTGCCCCTCCAGTCAGCCCTGGCAGAGCACTCTTAGCACCCAGGACAGAGCTGCCATTGCAGGCAGCCAGAGTCATGTGCTGAATGCTCAGTTGTTGGCAACTGACTTGTCACTGTCTCACCATACAGAGCCCAGAAACTGGCACCTGACGACCCCCAGGTCATCCTCTATCTCTCTCTGCAGCTGGCCCTCGTCCGACAGGTAAGTTGGAACAATTCCTAACCCCCAGGACCCTGGAGCAGCCCACCTCCTGGCAGCTCCACCTACCAGGTGTGTGCTCACCTGACTTGACTTCTCTCAGCCTCGACTTGCTTACCTATTGTGTGAGCATGTCTGTGTCCTGCTCAGGGGCACAGTAGGGGTGCAGTGAGCAAGTGTGGCCACAGCCCTGGCCCATAGTGGGCACCCTGGGAAGGGGTGTGCTCTGCTCTGTCTCCCCTGGAGCAGGGCGGTCTCCTGAGATCGCAGTCACAGCTGTGTGAGTCCTGGCTCCCCTGACCTTTTTCTGAAATCCTGGAGAAACAGCAGTTGGTGCATGGAGCTCTTTCTGGATGGCTGTTGGTGTGGTATCACTCTCAGGCTTCTACTTTTGGGGCCTGATAGGGACCTCTTGTCCACTAGGACCTGGGGCCTGAGAGGGACCTGTTGTCCACTAAGACCTGGGGCCTGAGAGGGACCTGTTGTCCACTAGGACCTGGGGCCTGAGAGGGACCTGTTGTCCACTAGGACCTGGGGCCTGAGAGGGACCTGTTGTCTGCTAGGATCACTGCCACTTCCTAGGTCTCTCCCCTAGACCTGCCTGCTTCCCTGGGCTGGGGACACGGGCTCAGAAGGAGCTTTTCACTCCCCAGTCCTCAGATGCTCCTGCTCTCCCCACCCTGGCCCTGGAGCCCCACTCTCTAGCAAGGGCCACAGTGCCTAGTTTAATCTCAGTCAACTAACGCCTCCTTGAGCTCCTATATGAAACCCTGGCCTCTGTCTCAGCTGAAGGTGGCACCTGGGTGCTGTTCTGTGTGACTCTTCATTCAGCTCTGTGAGCTTTCTCCTCTGGATTGGAGTGAGCAGGGACCCTGCCCCCGACCCCTGTGTCATCTCCCCTGAAACACTCACGGACCTGGCTCCTCGTCTCACTGCATAGTGGCTCCCATTGCTGGCTGCTGGAACCCCTTTCCTGTCACCCCACACCTGAACCCTTGGCCCAACCTGTGTGTCGCCTGTCCTGATTCATCCCTGTCTCCCTCTGTGTCCTTCTGTATTTACTGTTTTCTCCCCCATAGCCCTGCTGTCCCTCCCGCTGTCACTGCTGCCTTCCCTTTCCTCCTACACCCCCTCTCCATGAGTCACTCAGCCCCTCCTTCACCCCACACTCTCCACTCTGCCCTGGACCAGGTGCTGGCCCTCTCTGTGCCTCTCACCGGGGCATCACTCTGCCCCCAGGAACACAGAGGGAAAGATACCTGAGACAGCTTTATTTTTAGTCCTCTGTAAAAGAACCTGGTGCTTTTCTTGCCAATCAAGTTAATGATTAAACCTTTGGGTGATGCATTTTTTAATCTCTTTAATTATTCATTGATCTCTGATGAATAGTGCCCATGTGCAGAGTGAGAGATGGTTGGCCGACCAGGCTGTTGGAACCTGGTGCCGTTTTCTTTAGGACCCCAAGTTTTGTTAGCCTCAGGGTTGTTGAAGGCCCCTGAATAGACTCTCAGAACTGGCCTTGAGCTTGTGATCCTCTTGCCTCAGCCTCACAAGAGTGGTATCATGCCTGACTGAGGAATAAGATTCTTTTAAACAGATTCATTGGTTGGGTATATTATCTTTTTTTACCTCAAGAGAGCACATGCTTGGCGTATGAGTGACCCTGGGTTTGATCCCAGGGTCAAAAAATAGAAAGAAAAACAAAAAAGAGGGAAACTCAGTAGGGTTCCAGCAAAGACAGAGCTCTGTTGTAGATAGCCAAGAAGCTATAGTGTGTCTGAGTTTGAGGGCAGGCATGAAGGAGCGCTGCTTCAGAGCAGATGGAGGACTCTCTGCAGTTCCTTAGGGCCAGCATCTTGGAAGGCTTGCAGAAGGAAACGTCCCTTTTCCAGAGCACCCTGTGCCAATACTCTGCAGGAGGTTTTGATTGTCTCAGCTACTGCAGTAGGTAGAATCATTCTCATATTGCTGCATAGGTAGCACGGCTCAAAGGGACGAATCCCCTTGCCCTGTGTGCCAACTACGCAGTGGCAGAGCTGGGCTACTTGTCCCGCCTAAATCCAGAGCCTCAGCTCTTGCCTCCACCAGCACCTGAATAGGAGATTTACCCAGCAGTCAGGTTGTCCTCCCCAGTACCACCAGGGCAGGAACCTAGCAGACTGTGACAGAGCTGCCTCCTCCTGGCCACTGCCCTTACTCCATCTCTACCTGGTCATGGCCTCCAGCCTTCTAGGGGCAAGGTCACTGAGGGTTAGCAGTGTGGGGGACAGGAGGCTCATGGGTCTTGGAAAACTAGGCCAGGTTGGAGGTGCCTGGACTCTTAACAGTGAAGCACAGATAGCATTCCATACCCTGAAATTACAGCATGAGAAGAGGCTGGCTTTGATCTGGATGGGCTGACCCTAGACCCTTGTCCACCACAGCCCAGCCTGTTGAGAAGCACTGGCCGGACTCAGGACCCAGGTTGGGGCTCAGCTGTGGTGCCCACCAGCTCCACAGTGTTGGACCTCTGCACTTTCTCAGGGAATTTGGAAAGACAAGCAAGCATTTCACTTGAGTTTATGTTCATTTGGTTAACCCCTCGAGGTCAGGCCTGTGCTCAGCAGGCTGCTGAATTTAGGGAGGAAGAGTCCCAGGAACAACTAGAATACAGCTGGGTGGGACTCACAGAACTCTGGTTTCTGCGGTACCCCACCCAGCCCAAGAGAGCATTGTCAGTGGGTATGGGGGCTGGTGGTAGCTCAGAGCAAGAGGCCCTGTGCGCATTTGGTGGGGAGGGAGATGGCATGGAGGGCACAGGACTCCCTCCAGGTCACATGGGACTGCTTAAGGAGGACTGCAGTCACACGGATAGCTTAGCCTTTTTTGAAGAATAGTGTTTACATTGGTGACTGCCAGAATTCTTGTTACTCCTTCATGCTTATGGAAACTTTCCCCAGACCCTGCCAAGGGTGTGTAGGCCGGGCCATGTGGGACCGAGTGCATTGCTCTCAGCTCACTCACTGCCCTCCTTGGCTGAACAGCAGGTGGGATGAAGATGCTTAGCATTGAAATGGGATCAAAGAGAGCAGCTTTGGGGGAAGGTATAGGACTCAGCCTATGGGTGCTGTGCTGAAAATTAAAAATGGTTTCTTCAGGCAGGAGTTCTTGTACCATCTCTGTCCTCAGTTTTCAGGGAGCAGGTGTAGAGTGGGGTAGGGGGAATAGCCAGGCAAGGGTGTGGCCTTAGCCCTGTGTGGGCATGCTCAAAAGTTGACCCTGTCACAGCTGCAAAGATCCAGTGCCGAGCTAGACTTGCTAGGGTAGCAATCCAGCTGGTGGGAGCAGTAGAAGGTGCCCTTCCCCACTGTGCCTGTGCCCTCTGGGTTCAGAGCAGCCAGGCCTGCCTTCTTGCACAAGGATCCCAGGAAGGCGTACAAACCAGAGCTGGTGGAGGCTGGGGTCTGGATGGCGGTGGATCTCTCCACACTGCTGTGATCTCTGCCAAGATCCGGAGCAAAGGCTTTCCTGCAGCTACCCCCAGGGGGCGCGGCAGCAGCTTCTCAGACCACACTTTCCTGAGCCGACCTGGTCCTACCTGTCCGGATTTGGAACCAGGATTAGCAGTTATTAATTGAAATAATTAATAATTATTAATGGGGGAAGAAGGAGAGAGAGAGAATAGGAGTAGAATGTGGCCACACCCCTTTTCCTAGGTACTGGCCTCTGCACCCTGTTTTTGTGCCTCCCATGGGCAGAACTCTGCTGATTCTGGAAGGGCTGCTGCACGCAGCCAGGTCCCCTCTCCCTGGTGTGCACACACCTCCTATGTAGGAAATGCTTCCTGTTGTCTGTCCAAATCCTCCATGCTATGCCATGGACTCACTTTCGTCTCTCTCCACTGGGACAAAGAGTCCCTTCTTGCCAGGCTGTTTGGGGGATATGTTTTCTCACAGCACCATCCCTGCATCCCAGTGCCAGGGGGTCACCTGACCTGAACCTTGTGGGCTCTCCTTGGTTGACATCTGGTACTGGAGTCTGGGGAAGGTCCCTAAGCTGGCGGTTTCCTTTGGCAGATCTCCAGTGCCATGGAACAGCTGCAGGGGGCCCTGACAGTGTGCAAGGATGATGCCAATGCCCTTCATCTGCTGGCACTGCTCTTCTCTGCCCAGAAGCACTATCAGCATGCCCTGGACGTCATCAACATGGCCATCACCGAGTACCCTGAGAACTTTAAGTGAGTTCCCTGTGGACAGTGCTGGGTAGGGCTGAGTTGCCATCAGCAAAAGTGCCAGCACACATAGCATAAGAACATATTGTGTACACACTCCCTGGGTAGAGAGATAAGGGGGTGTGCAAGACTAGGGGAGTGGTAGGCCTGTGGTCTCCTTGGGACTGTAGGGTTGTAAGATTGCAGAAAAGAATGCACTGGGGTGCGTGTGTGTTTCGTATGTCCTTCCCCCACCTCCACCCCATCCTAGGATCTGTGTGAGCTCTCAAGGTTACCAAGGCAGGTAACTTCACCATGACCCTGACAAAGCTAGCCAAGGATGGGGCCTAACCCTGGCAGGCACTGGAAGCCTGGAGGAGTCCAAGGAGCCGTGGCATGTGAGCATGTCTGTACCCTACTCTGGGGGGCCCTGTCAGCAAGTGTGAAATCCGCCTGGTCCGTGGTGGGCAGCGAGGGAAGAGTTGTGCTCTGCTGTGCCTCCCCTGGAGCAGGGCTGTCTCCCGAGACTCCTCTTCCTGCCAAGGCTAAAGAGAGGTGGTTTGGACATGGCCTGTATCTGAACTCTGCGGTGTGTCTCACTGGACAGAGGGCCTCTAGTGAATGAGGCCAAGGAGGGGAGCGCCACCCTGCTCATCAGAAACCCTGCGCCTTGCCTGGCTAACCCTCTCCAGACTCACCCCTGCCTGCAGCACCTTGGCTCCCAGCCTGCCCATGCAGGTCCCAGCTGTTCACAGCTGTGCAGGCCAGTTGTTGCCACCTCCACAGACTTAGCCCACTTGTACTGGAGGGATAGCCATGATTCTGAGCCTTGATTTAAAAATCTCCAGTACAATACAGCAATCTTAAGTGATAACAGTTTAATTTATCATTTATAACGAAAGTGCATAAAAAGCAAAAGTTCTCCCTCCTGGAGCCAGTACCTTGATTTTTTCCCGCGGACTCCATCTTTACACCTGTCTCTGGCAGGATCTGACTCATTGCTGCTATGTGTTTCTCCATGCATGTGTGTCTGTATGCCTGTATATACCTGTGCATGCATGCATGTATATGCATGGAATGTGTGTGTGTGTTTGCTCTTGGTTAGTTAGGCCTCAGGGAAAACAGAAGTGGTCAAGAAGAAAGCCTCAGAATCCTGATTGAGGAAGGGAAGGGGTTCCTCAACCCCTCAACTACTCCATGGCCTGAGTGTGTTATCAAAGAAATAAGTTGCAAGCCCAGGCTCTAGCAGCATTTTTATCATTTTAACAAGCAGCCTCACTGTCCTTCCTACCCCCGAGACTTACAGGGAGCTGCCTGCAAAGCAGGGTCCCCACTTCTGGTGGCTGGAGCCATAACGGGGTCAGCATCTGCCAGGGAACAGCTCACCCTTACAGATGTCTCAGTACAGGTAATCTCAGGGCTTAAGGGGCTCTACAGGCTAGGACCTGGCATGTCTTTGCAGTGATGTTCCACAGAACATTTGGGGACTAGGAGGCTCTACCGCAGTAGGACCTCACTTTTTCCTGTTCATCTAGGAATCAGTAGAAAAGTAGCAGTTCTTTATCTTGAACCACCATGAACCCCAACCTCCTGGACCAGGAGAGCTCTGTTTTGATCTGAACTGACCCTAAAAGCCTATAAAACTGATTGAAAAGATCTGGGGAGTTCTGCCTCCCAAGACTGCAAAAAAATAGGAAAGAAAAAATATATAATATATGCATACATGTGTATTTGGGTGTGGTGGGGCTCAGGGCTCCATGTACCTCCAGCTGTGTTGCATGACGATATCACTTTGCAAAACAAGTCAAAACTTCCCCAGATATGAAACCTTGGAGTACAGAAACCCATGAATTAGCAGGAAATGTTACTGAGTCCATTCTGTGTCAGGATTGCTGAAAAATGTCATTGCTCTTCGATTGACACTGCATCCTGCCTCTCCAGCTGCTCCCTGCACTGGGAACAAGCCGTGCATGGCTCCAGCTGTTGCCAAGGCAATTAATTAAACAACCAGTCCAGTAAATACCGCTCAGCAAAACAACACAAACCAAATCCCCTTCGCCCTGACCTCATTGTCCCAGTAGAATCTGTTTTTAGAGGTACTTAGGGGCTCATGATATAGATCTGTTCACCATGCCCCTCACAGGCATCTGTCTGATGGCAGAAGCCTTCTAATCTTCTGTTCCTGTGAAGACTGTACCTGCAGTGCACCCCAGGCTGGTGTTGGGGTCCATGCTTTGTCACTGTTTGGTACCCAGGATGGACCCTCATCCATATGAACTCTCCTGTGGAAGAGCCATAGTGAAGTCCCTCCCTTGAGTCTGTCACCTGTGTTACCGGGAGCAACCTGTTCCTCCTTGGAAAGACAGTATCTGTCCTGGGGCCTCCCATTCCTGAGGTCTCCTCTGAGGCTCAGATCAGAGAAGGTCATGCAGCTGATAAACAGTGTGTCTAAGGCAGCAATGGGGTGGGCTGGGGGCCTGGCCACAAACAATGTCACATTAACATCTGAGACCCAAGGGTGGCAGTTCATGCAGTGACCCAGAGCTGGAAGGAAAAGGGGCCTGGCAAGGTTGGGGCCTTGGGGGTGGGAGTTGAGGTCTGGGAAGAGCTTTGTAAAGTCACTGTGCCACATAGGCAGCATCTACACTCCCAGAGCAAAACCCACTTTTCCCAGAGTCAAACTTTTGAAAGTCCTTCTGAGCTCAGGGTTTAGAAAGCAAAGCAAAGAGACTCTTGATGTCTGTGCTGTGGGATGACCCTTACTTAGTGGAGCTCAGGTTTAAAGAGGCAGGAACCTGGTGAGGCAGGGACCGATGGCCCCTCATGGACAGTGCAGACCTGCTGTGGTGGGGGAACTAGACACCTTGGGCAGCTTCCTGAAATCCTGTGGGTTTTCCACTAAGTCCTGGACACATATGCTGGCTGGGCAGTGCAGCTGGTCAGGCGACCCAGGCCTGCAGGGGGCCTCCGAGCCACAGCCTCCCTGTTTGGAATGTCAGAGGTCCCAGGCAAGCCCTGAGATGTCTCTGCTGACCCTTTCTTTTCATCTGGGGTGGGGGAGGCAGCTGGGAGGCCTGAGCAGGGAGGGGCAGGAATATGGGGTCAAGGGGAATGGGCCACTGATAAGCGTTCTTCCTGGGGCCATGGGCACTGTCGGCGATGGTTTAAGGTAACAGATTCCTGGCGCTTTAGTCAGGCCCTTGTAGTGAAGGTCACCATAGCAACCAAACAAAGTTCTTGGGCTAATGATGGGAGCTTTCCAATAACCAGCCTGTCAGTCACACCCCTGGCAGCTGTCCCAACTGACTCTGAAGGCCCAAAACGCATACCTAAGGCAGCCTAAGGTTTCTCTTTCGGCTCCACAGTGGGCACGGCCACCACCTCCCACCCCCTGTTCCCTAGGGGTCAGAGTAGACTCTCTTGTGAGTTCCTGCTGGTCCAACCCTGATCATAAGGGAGTTAGTCCTAGGGGAAGGTCTTCTGGAGCCCTAGCAAGGGAATAATACAGCCCTCTACATGCCAGAGCTTGCCACCCTTAAACAAGTGAAGGAGTACAGCCATTTGCCACAGGACGCCTAAACTGTTTTGGAAAATGTTTGAGCTGATAACTAGGCATAGCTAGAGCCAGACCTCAGTAAAGTTCTGGTAAAGTAAAGCCTCCAGGGCACCTCTACCTGGCTGACCTCACCTACTTTTCAGATTGCATGAGACACATTCCTAGTGGTACATTCCACTGAGCAGACAGCATCAGAGGCCTGGGGTGTCTGTTAACATTTCTGCCCTAAAACCCTGTGTAACTGTTCTTATTAAGGAGTTGTAGCACATCAAAAGGATGCTTAAAATTCCAGCACTCCAGTGAGGAGGTTGGAAACAAATGTATTAATACAAACATAGTTTATCATTTTCTTGCATTCATTAAGCTTGTTTGCCAGCCACAGTGCCTGCAGACACTGGCCATAGGGCCAAATGGTGGGCCATGGGGCCAAGGCGTAATCACTGCCAGCCCTGGACCCTTCCCAGAGGTCAGTTCCTTCTCAGCAGGCAAGGTTGCTATTCAGCATTTCTCCAGTTATTTCATAAGCACCGCTGTGGTCTTGCTCCGTGTGATGAGTGTGAACTAGAAGGTGCAGCCTCAGCCTCCAGGGTGTGGGCTACTCACACTGAAACTCAGAAGGGCGATGATGCCAAGGGTTGTTTTGTTTGGGGAAGAGAGGAGGAAAGGCAGATATTTGCAGGTTTTCCAAAAGGAATTCTTCAGTCTTCAAAGGTGGCTTTAGCTGTTGGTTCCCAGTACTTTTTGCTCCCCCTGCTTATGCCTGGGCTGGAGGTGGCACTGTCCATCAGGACAGTGGTTCCCTACAGTGGACGGACCTTGTCCTTAGCAAAGTCTTGGTGCACCAGGGCTCACTTCCCTCTGCACAAGGAGTCTAGGTCCCCCAGCCTGCTGTCTGGTAGAGGTAACGACCAGCAGCTGGCTTTGTGCAGTGTGGGACCATGTATGTTCTACCTGCACACCTCCCTGGAAGGTCTTCTGTGCTGAACAACTCTGCACAAGTTCTGTGTGGTTTATGCTCAAGTCAGCCAAGGTCAGGAATTGATGTCTGGAGAGCTATCTGGAGTTCACCGGAGGTGGCCTGCAGAGTGGCCTAACCAGGAGGATTTAGTTTCCTATTTCCTCATTGCGAGGTGGAGGATCATCGTAATGCTTCAAGGATTAAGGGACATGGGTCAGTGTAATCTTGGGTCCTGGGAAAATCACTGGTTTTAGCATGAAGAAGAGCTGCTAAAATGAACCCTGCTGTACTGGGGATCAATGTCAGGGAAGCTCATAGGGTGTGTCCTAAAGGTAGCCCTTCCTCTTAAGAGGCCCTGGAAAAATCTACCCTCAGGGTTTGTGTGTGTGTGTGTGTGTGTGTGTGTGTGTCTGTCGTCTGTCTGTTGAAGGAGTCAGTCTCCCGGGTGGAGCCTTATCCTGAGCCTCGAACTTTGGAGGAGGTGTTTAGGAGGTCCTTGTGGCCCTCTGTGTC